TTGTTAGTCAGTAGAAAAAATAAAAAGTTATGAAAAGGAAATAAAGCATGTATAAGAAGAACTAACTAACTTCTCAGAGTACAGCAGCAGCATTTGTCATAGTGATTGAATCTAAGTTTAGACTTGTAGTGAACAACTATTTACTTACTGCAAATGCCATCTGAAGTCTTAAAAACAAGAAAATAACCACAGGAGATGCAGAATAGTAGGAGGAAAGCTTCCGGAAAATCTTAGAAGTAGGAATGAAAAAATATTGTGGAAGGAATAATGCAAGATGACACAATTTACAAGGAAAGTTAGCATTTCTCGCATCTGTTGAGAAGAAACAATCTGGAAAGTAACTTTTATAAACTGCTAGGCACTGCTAATTAATTATTCGTCTTCAATTAGTTATCGGAAATAAAGCAAAAAATAAAATTGTAGTTGAATAAGCTAATTATATCTGAATCACTGCTTTTATTATTGTGCAATTAGCTGTGTTTTAATTAGCAAAAAAAGATCAAATTTTTTGTGAGCTCAATTTTTAGCGACAAACACAAATCTTTCTTTCAGCTAATATCTTGCTGAATCTTGTCTATTGCTGAATCAAATTTTGAAGTGAAAAACAGCAATAAGCAGCTTTTGAAATTCAAAACTTTTTGTATACTTGGAGTTAAGCTAGCTTTCAGTCGTAACTTAGCAATGCTAAGCAAAAAACAATTAATTGCTTTTTACACTGCAATTTGAAATAAAAAAATTCACACTTTGATTTTAGAAGTTGTAAATATTTGCATGTTACAAACTAAGAAAAAGTAATAGGATGGATGGATTTGTTACAATGACTGTTTTGTAATACAAAAATAGACAAGATAATAGGACTGAGATGAAAATAAACGGACTAATTTACACGTTACTCTCAACTGTTTGGAAAACATTGTAACCATAAAAGGATGTTAAAAATGGGTAGCGCGAAATTAAAATTACGCTTGAAGAAGTGAATAACGTTAGATGGTATGAAAAAGAATTTACACGTGATTACAAGGGATAACGTATGCACCTCATAAAGTTGCAAATCGGCAGCTAAAATTAACGTTTCAAATATTCGACTTGACTCATTCATAGTTTTTATTTAAAAAAGTTGAAATTCAACAGGCATAGCAGAAAGGTAGTTCATGTTTATTGTTGCTTAACGTAGGAGAGTAGAGGAAGTATGCAAGTTAATTTATTAATTAAGTTAATATTCATGAAAAGAAATAAAAATTTGTAATAGCGTTAAAAAATTTCACGTTGCGTCTACTTTGTAATTGTATTGCACATAATGGCAATGTGAAAACGTGTAAAATATTTGTTGATCATTAGAAAATAACAAGCTTTTTGGCTTCAAATTCATTTATTTTCTTGCAAATTTAATAATAAGGAAAGCACATAATGTTTCTAGCATAATGTAGGATTAGATGAAGGATTAATGCAGTAATCATTTCTGCAGTAATTCCAAAATTATCTGCAAGAAGCAACGTGCCAATATTTAAGTATACGCTGAATAATTTTTAGCTAAGAGCACTTATTTCGCTATTTCCTCTACAGTTACGAGTGTAAGAGATGGAAATAACAAGTAAGGTCAAAAAAGTCACATTTGTCTGAGACTTTGAAATTGAAACTGAAATTCGCAGCATCGTTGCGACAGTTTTTTCTAAACTTCAAAAAGAATTTGACGACTTTCACGTTCATTCGTTATTATCATACTTTTTTCCTACTTACTAATTAATCAATATTTTCAAAATATGATAGTTTTGAATTTGTAGAATAAAAATACTAGTACAACGTTAAAGCTAGAAATACTGATGAATTTTGTCAGCTTCAATAGTTCTCATCAGCATTGAAAGTATTATTTTTCAGAAGCAAAAAGCAAATTAGCCATAGATTTTTAGAGTAAAGCTGGTTGAAGCTTATGGAAAATGAAGATTTTGTTATAATCAGTGATTTCGTTTTCTATCTTTCATTCAATTACTTATATTTGATTATGTTAATGAAAAAGCATGAATTAAAGATTCAGATGGATGCTATCTTTGAAAGAAGCAGTTGAGACGATTAAGTCAGAAGAAAGTAAACATAATGTCTAAACACTGATGACTCTCGTCACAAACTGTTGTATGGTGTGGAATTGGAGTTTATATTTGATATATTTGATTTTTTACTGACTTGTATGATTGAAGTGAGTATTTATTTAAATCAAATTTGAGTTGTTTACTTGGAATAGTCATAAAAAAGGATTATTTATGCATACAGATATATATAAATAATTAATAATCAAGCAACAACACTAAGATTTGTTGAGAAAAGTTTGCTTAATAAAAGTAAATGTTTTAAAGTAAATCTCAACTGTATATTTATATTCACAGACAGATAAGCACGAAAACATTCTGTTTTTATTTGAAATATAAAATTGAAACATAAACAAATGGATTTATCACGTTTTATTAAGTGAAATTTGCGCATGGTGTAGCTTTGCTCCGATCTTAAGCTAATTCATCAATTGTTGACGTATAATTACTTTAAATAAATACATCACTTACTTTTACAACTTTTACGTTTTAACTGGTGTAAGTCTTTGCTAGTTGCAGAATTAATGAATTTATTAATGGTGAACTTAAAAATTGTGGTAGTTGAAGATCAAACGTTTTTCATCCATATTTGAAACGTAAATAAAAAAATTAATGTATGTTGACTCAGTGAGAAATTTGCGAGTAATTTTTAAGCAAAAATAAGCATATTAATGGACAAGCAAAAAAAGTATAATAATATGTGCTATATATGTATGCTTATTTTGCAGTAATCAGCGTGTAAAGTGAAAAGAGAAAGAATAATAATAATTAATATGCACTTCTAATTTACTTGTGTTGAATTAATTATAAAGAAAATTATTAAAAAAATATCCAGAAACTCCAATTATGCATTTCAGCGTAAAAAGGAGTAAGGGATGTGCTGTGGTACGAAAACATTGCTGTTATCTAATCTAGATTACAACTTTAGCTGTCGATTATCTCTAATGTAAAAACATAAACTTTAAATCTAAGCAATAATATTGGCTGCAGTAGTAGTAGCAGCTGACTTCCGCACATCATGAATTCATTATTAAGAGCTAGTAAATAATTATTAGTTGTTTGTTCAATACTTCCTCAATTTTAGCTAACTTGTATTTGATAATCCAAAAATTTGTATAATATTGATGCAGTAATGAACAATGCATTCATTAATCACTTTTTTTTTTCTTAACTTTACGCCATGGATATACAAATTAATAAACTTTTATGGCTCAATTGCCTTTGTGAATTAACCAGACCCTAATACGAGAACCACAGATATAGAGGAGATTAAAGATGAATTCGATTGAACAATTAAATTTGGAATGCAATTTATTTGTTCAGACATCGATTTCACTTGCAGTCAAAACAATAAGTATGGAACTGAACCGAATATTACTGTACACGAAACAATGATGAAACAAAGGTCATTTGTATTTCACCATGTGTCATTTTCCGATGTAACAAATTCTTCAAATTCCACATTTTAAATGAAACTTTTTTACAAACACTAAACACTTCTAGTCATGAATCCGACACTTGTATTACTTTATATTTGCAGCTCCTGCACTCTTCACTTTTGTAAGCGGTTTCACCAGATTGCGGTTTTATTCCAAGATTCTCAGCATGTCACAGACTGAATGTATTTAGCCATCTTTATATCGACTGAATAGTTGAACTACTCCTTGATCTTCATATCTATTCAGCATCTACTTTAATCAGTCAAAAAACTTCAGACAACAAAAGAACTAAAGTCCAAAGTCATCTACCGAAAATAAAAATAATTTATCTTCCAGGTCATGCACAATATGACAGGATCGGAAACACATATGAAATGATTCGTGCGGCTAACTTCTACCAAAAACCAGGTCTCATACGTTGTAAAGAATTTAAATCTCTATCTTTAAAAATGCAATACATAATTTTTTTCAGGAGGAAAATTTTCTGATCGAATAGGACTTTATGCAGAAGAACGCAATCCAAAAAGTAAGCCAATTTATTAAAAAAACTAAATATTCAAGTACCAGTTACCAAAAGTATTAAGTCATTTAAACTTGAAACATTCATTAAATTTTAGCATCTACAAAATCAGCGCCTACAAGTACTGAAAAACCAAAAACCCATCAAACAGCACCTAGTGTGGTCAACGATGAATATCACAACCGCATTGAATGGTACTAGCTGCACTACTTAGCATGGATGGAATGAAATTTTATTTGAATCTGAAGTTCAATACAAGTCGCAATAAGATAATACTTAACGGCATAAATCTTTGAAAAACAGTGTCATATGCATATGTTTCATATCAATTTTATGGATGTTGTATCTTAAAACAATCTGCATACAATAAAATTCGTACTAAATGAGATGATAATGCAAGCAAGCATTTTAATACTTAAAAAGAGGCATGAATCTGAGATAAAAATTCAAGCAGCAGAGATACAAAAAAGTGCCTCAGTCATTTGCCAAGCTTGCAGTAGATTCATTTACATTGAAACAGCTAACTTTTTCATAGTAATAAAATTAGTATCAGAATCGATATGTCTGACTATTTTGTGTATGGCCATCGAAAATGAAGATATTGTCGAGAGGGATATACTGACCTGTGATTAGTTTGATTACTTCTTGAGCAGCTATACCACCAATTAGGGAAGCAATAACATGTAGTTCAGACGCACTGTACCGACACATCTCATTAATTGCTATCAGAGGAATTTTCTTCAGCATTTCTTCTTTATCTTCTATCTGCAGAAAAATCCACAAAATTATAAGACTTTGAAAACAAAAATGCTTTATCATGCTAAACTTCAAAGTTTATAATTAATCACAAGAGTA